AAAGTTCAAGATGGATGTGCTAAGGTATTGGCTCTGAGTTACAATGATTTGCCCATTGCATTAAGGCCATGTTTCTTGTACTTTGGCCTTTTCCCCGAGGACCATGAAATTCGTGTTTTTGATTTGACAAATATGTGGATTGCTGAGAAGCTGATAGTTGTAAATAGTGGCAATGGGCGAGAGGCTGAAAGTTTGGCTGAGGATATTCTAAATGATTTGGTTTCTAGAAACTTGATTCAAGTTGCCAAAAGGACATATGATGGAAGAATTTCAAGTTGTCGCATACATGACTTGTTACATAGTTTGTGTGTGGACTTGGCTAAGGAAAGTAGCTTCTTTCACACCGAGCACAATGCATTTGGTGATCCCGGCAATGTTGCTAGGGTGCGAAGAATTACATTCTACTCGGATAATAATGCCATGAATGAGTTCTTTCGTTCAAATCCTAAGCCTAAGAAGCTTCGTGCACTTTTCTGTTTCACAACAGACCCTTGCATATTTTCTCAACTGGCTCATCTTGATTTCAAATTATTGCAAGTGTTGGTTGTAGTCATGTCCTATTATGATTGTTGTGGTGTCCCAAACACGTTTGGAAACATGAGTTGCTTACGCTATCTTCGATTGGAGGGGGATATTTATGGGAAACTGCCGAATTGTATGTTGAAGCTCAAACATCTAGAGACCCTAGATATTGGTAAAAGCTTCATTGATCTTCCTACTGGTGTTTTGAAGTCTACACAATTGAGACATCTTCGTTATAAATCTTTCGATAAAGTATGTATGTATTGCTTTTCTATAATCCCATTTTTTCCAAATGTGTACTCATCATTGCCTCCTAATAATCTACAAACTTTGATGTGGATGGATGATTATAATTTTTTTGAACCGAGATTGTTGCACCGATTGATCAATATAAGAAAACTGGGTATAGAGTGCTCATATGGTTCTACGGTTAAGATATTATCAACATTGAGCCCTGTGCCAAAGGCGCTGGAGGTTTTGAAGCTCAGATTTTTGAGGTACATGATGAGTGAGAAAATAAACTTGTCGTCCTATCCAAATATTGTTAAGTTGCATTTGAGAATTTGCAGAACAATGCGCTTGAACTGTGAAGCATTCCCTCCAAATGTTGTCAAGCTTACTCTTCACAACTTGGAGGTAGACGGTCATGTAGTGGCAGTGCTTAAGAAATTGCCCAAATTAAGGATACTTAAAATGCTTTGGTGCAAACATAATGAAGAAAAGATGGATCTCTGTGGTGATGGTGATAGCTTTCCGCAACTTGAAGTTTTGCATATTGAGTATGCATGTGGGTTGTCTGAAGTAAGTTGCAGGGATGATATGATTATGCCTAAATTGAAAAAGCTATTTTTACGTATAGATACCACTTCCGACGTTAGGCTCTCGGAACGTCTTGCAAAGCTGAGAGTATGAAAATCCCAATGTGTCAACAGGTTAATTATTTACTTTTAATATCTCTGAATAAGCTCATTTTTTATTAATTAATTCATCAACTTAATATTTTATGTCTAATAAATTGCAGATGCATTTGAGAATGATTAAGTCTTTGCTGGAGAGCATCTTCTGATGCCTGTTTGTATTTGAAATAAATAAATTAAATGTTTGATTGCTTCATGAAGTTGACGTATTTGTGGCTTGTGATTTATAAAAGATTTATTTATTGTCTTATGTATATTTACTTTGGAATTAGTAGCTTTAGTTTATTTTCTTCTTCAAGAATCAAAGTTTACAATATAAGTTATGGCTTTGCATCGATCGATTCGGGTCAATTTTATGTATTGTCATTTCATTTTATCGGTTTTTGGTTATGGTTTATCTATCAATTGGTTTAACCAATAAGAAAATGCTTATAAAATAAATATATGACTTCTCTAACAAATGCTCATAAAATAGAAATAATAATAATTAACATTGAGAGAACTATACAAGTGTAACACAAAGAGAAATTAATAGGAATAATGTTCTTACTTTATATTTTGACGTTTTGTATAATGTGAAGTTTTGAACTCAAAGTCACTATGAAGTTTGAAGCTAAGGCTATAGGACAAATGTACTAACTAGTAAGGTATTGAGATTAATATTTAATATTTATGTAAGCGTAAAGTACTATATTACTATAATCTTATTGGGTTATCAGTATACCCAATAACCCATTATAAAAGGTCAAAACCGAACCGATAATCCAATAATTTTTTTATAAAACCATTAAAAACTATTGACCCAATTCTTGGGTTTTGGGTTTTTTTTTTTTCTGTGTGGATCAATAAAAGTCCAAGGTTAGAAAATTTACAAATACACACTTTTGGACACCTTGACACATGCACACGCTCTTCATGGAATCGACCCCAATATTTGTTGGGTTTATAATTGGTACGACTGTATTTACATTTCATTTTAAGGTGTAGAATTGGTCATGACCAAACTCCAGAGTATAACTCCAGCATTCAATAATTTGAAAAAAATAAAATACAAGTATACTTTAATCAAATTTTTATTTATGTGTTTTGGTTTTATTTATGTCAAACACAAGGTATACATCTTTAAAAGAATTAAAATTTCTACACATTTCATCCCCAAACTATAAAAGATTTCCACATAATTTTTTTTAAAATTCATCTTACAAGGTATCATAAGCAGCTGGCCTTCCTTATAATGACACTTTTGTTTGCTAAAAAATTCTGCAAAAACTAAAAATCTCACACAATCAAAGTTAGAATTCTAGCTACGTGTTCAATAAAATTTAATAATTTTAGCTAAAATCAAATATTTATGTTCAAAATTCATTGAATATTTACGTTTAATATCAATGTGTCTACAGGTTAGTGGCTACTATCAAATTTTCATTATGCTTGTGCTCTTCGTTTGCCAGAAAATCGGCACATTGGTTCATCTCTCTCCAAATGTGTTTAATTAATAGAGGTCTTGCTGACATTGAACACATATTTCCTACGATCTTTGCTAATAGCTCTAAGATGATAATGTTGTATATATATATATTGCCGTTAAAAGTTATTTTTGATTTAGTAATATTAAACAAATTATATTTTTATGAGAATAATGGATGGATAAATACTCCCTCCATATCAATTTATGTGACTTACTTTCCTTTTTGATCTGTCCAAAAGAGAATGACACATTTTTATATTACTCCCTCCGTCCCATTTTATGTGGCACCATTTCCTTTTTGGTCAGTCCCAAAAAGAATGTCACATTTCCTTATATGGTAAGTATTTAAAGGTACAACTCCTCTTTTACCCTTGTTGGTCTCACTTAATCTTAAAATAATACTCCAATACATTTATGAGGAGAGAGAAAAGTGAGTCTACTTTTTAAAGGGCAATTTGGTAAATATTTCAAAGTCTTCATTTATTTCTTAAACTCCCGTGCCGGGGTCAAAATGTTGCCACATAAAATGGGACGGAGGGAGTAAGTAACAATTTAACTATGAAATGTCTACTTTACCGTTAATGAAATGATTTACAGCCACACAAATTTATATAATTCATTTTGAACCACAAATTTTAAAAGTCTTCATTTCTTTCTTAAACTTCGTACCAAATCAAACTATCTCACATAAATTGAGATGGAGGGAGTAATAAATTACGCGACACAATAAATATAGCTTCTATATTTATCTGAAACATTATGAAGCTAATCACAAGGACAAAGGGTATATATTTCGACTTTTTCAGAGTGAAAAAAAATATATATGTGCTTAATAGCTCCAAATAGTAAGGGACTCGAGAGTAATTTTACTGCTTAGAGGTGTTGTACCTTGCTTTTTGAAGAGGGTGTTTTTGGAATTAATGTACAACATGCATCCTCTTGTTTTGGTAGCAGTGTGTCTACCATAGTGGCGAATTCATAATAGTTTGTAAATAAGCAATTGTCAAGATTGAGAAAGTTATTTTAACATCATGTTTGATTATGAAAATTATTTAGAGAGAAGTATAGAAAAACACCTTAAACTTAGTGCACATTATTAGAAAAATGGCTAGACTCTTTGTTTAGTGGTATAAATTCGAAAAAAATATTATTAGTTTCATCTACAAATTATTGACAGTCTAAAAACCATCCCTCTACTTGACTAACTAAACCGCTGAACACCCCGATCAGTCACATGACATAGCAAGTGGTCTCAAACTCTTATAGAAACATAATGCTCTTAATAAAAAGTCGAGATAAGTGTTGAAATTAAAATACTCCTAAACTTGACGAAAATTTAAGGGTGTATTTCACTCACGTTGTAAGATCGGTGTGTATGTAAGTTCAATTAGTCAAGTAAAATAATGTTTTTAAGATTGTCAATAGTTCAAAAATGAAACTAATAATTGACACCAAATTTAGAGGGGTACGTTTTCAATAGTTCTCTCAATTATTTATTATCTTTTTGAAATATCACTTTATTCAAAAATTGTGAATTGAAATTTCAAATAGTTGATGGAATAAGTCTAAAGTGATAAACTATTTGCTTTATTGTTGGAGTCCACAATAAGGACAACACATGCAGTGGATAAGATGTCAGTAGAATAGTGAAAAGAAATTATTCCGCCCGTCCCAATTTAAGTTTTTTTATTTTTTGTGGCCGATTGATAATATACTTTTTTTTTCCGAAAAAACTACATAACTAAGTAAACATCTTAGTATAACTAATCAATTACACGATATTTAAAAAAAAACACTTATAATACACTATAATATTACATTAGTTTTTTTAAAAAGGAAAAAATTATATTGTTATCAAGAATGATTGTTAGAGTATAATAGTAAGATGAGAGTATAATGTATTTCTCCTTTTCCATTAGTGTGCAGCTGCCCCACCTTTCTTGTTTCTTTTGTTTATCATTTACTTGGCATTATTAGGACTCCAGCTATCACTAAAATGCAAAAGCAAACAGTATACTGATCGTCTTTTTTTCCTACTTTTCCTAATTACTCATACTCAGTTTTTTGTTGATACTGAAAAAGAAAGACAAAAAATGGCTGAAATTCTTCTCACAGCAGTCATCAATAAATCTGTAGAAATAGCTGGAAATCTACTCGTGCAAGAAGGAACGCGTTTATATTGGTTGAAAGAGGACATCGATTGGCTCCAGAGAGAAATGAGACACATTCAATCATATGTGGACGATGCAAAGGCCAAGGAAGTTGGAGGCGATTCAAGGGTCAAAAATTTATTAAAAGATATTCAACAACTCGCAAGTGATGTGGAGGATCTCTTTGATGAGTTCCTTCCAAAAATTCAACAATCCAATAAGTTCATTTGTTGCTTTAAGACAGTTTCTTTTGCCGAAGGGTTGCGGGTATTGATCGTGTAAGGACAACTTATAACATGCATCATGGATACAAGTAACAACAATAATGATTGCATTCCGTTGGACCAGAGAAGATTATTCCTTCATGCTGATGAAATAGAGGTCATCAGTTTGGATGATGACTTCAATAAGCTACAAGCCAAATTACTTGATCATGATTTGCCTTATGGAGTTGTTTCAATAGTTGGCATGCCCGGTTTAGGAAAAACAACTCTTGCCAAGAAACTTTATAGGCATGTCCGTCATCAATTTGAATGTTCAGGATTGGTCTATGTTTCACAGCAGGCAAGGGCAGGAGAAATCTTACAGGACATTGCCAAACAAGTTGGACTGACGGAACAGGAAAGGAAAGAGAACTTGGAAGGCAACCTAAGCTCACTCTTGCAAAGAAAAAGGTGTGTTATCCTCTTAGATGACATTTGGGATGTTGAAATTTGGAATTATCTGAATTTTTTCCTTCCTGACTCAAAAATTGGCAGTAGGATAATAATCACATCTCGAAATAGTAATGTAGGCAGATACATAGGAGGAGATTCCTCACTTCACGTGTAGGCTTCAGATATTATTATTATTTTTTGAAACTTTTTTACTTTAAATCATATTTTTATTATTAGTGTAATGATATTTCTCAAGTAGTAATTGTAGTACTTTTTTTCTTCATTATTGGTGATCGTTACCTTTCTCAATTAAAAATCATAATATTTATTTTGTATATTATAGATTATTTAATAAAATATATTTGTAAAATAATTGAAAGTATTACTTTTCCTTTTTAAAGTATTTTCTTTAATAAAGGGAATGTATATAATTTTCTTCACTATCACGCGAATTGCAAGTTATTTTATTACTCTCCCGATCTCAGTTGATCATTTTCCTTTTTACAAGCATATCAAGAAATCATAAATAAGAAGTTCAGTTTATTGATTCATCTCTGAAATTTTTTATTGGAAATTTAACAAACAAATATGAACATTTAAAAAAAGAATTAATTGCATGAATAATATAGGAAAAAAATTAATTAATGCTTTCTTAATTTATAAAAATGGACAATTATATTTTTTAATAAAATGATCAACTAATATGGAATAGAACTATAGAATGAATAGTTACAACTAAAGTGGAAAAAAAAGAGTTCTTCACGAAAAATACTTCCGTTTGAAATATTCATTTATTTCTTTTGTAACATTTACATCCAGACAAAAGTGAAAACATGATTATTATTTTTTTAATTCTCCAACATTATACTTTCCTTTTGCTTTTTCATGAGAAAAAAGGTAAGATGCCTATATATTGTTTCAAGTAAAGAATAATTTGGAAATTATGACCCATCTTACCCTCACATTCAATTCAAGTATTGAACTAATATATATATTTTTTTAAAAGATACTTATAAATAGAATTGAGGTGCTTGGTTAATTTGTCAATTTCCATCTTTTGAAAAAAAAAACACTTATAATTAATATTTACTCCAATCAAGGAACTGCATCAGCCAAATTCCAACCTATCAGGTACACCTACTATTTTTCTTTTTCTTTTTTGCTTTAATTTATATTTGATTATTACAAAATACTCCCTCCATTTCATATTAATTTAATTTTGAGGTGTTTTACACCCTTTAAAAAAAGTAGATTAAGACATAAATTGAATATAGTTTTCTATTTTTACCCTTATTAATTATTATCAAATTTATGATTAAAATAACTAAATATTAATTAATCGCTAATTCCAATACTAACTAATGAAGGGTAAAATTGGAAGAACACTCTAAAAGTAGTTTTGAAAACTGAACAATTAAATTAATTTAAAAAATAAAAAATACCTTAAAAATTAAATTAATATGAAATGGAGGGAATAGTTAGAACTAGTAGTAAATAAATTGTTTAATTACACACGCACACAAAATTTAGGAAATTCACAAATACACACTTTTGGACACATTGACACATGCACACACTCTTCATGGAATCGACCCCAATATTTGTTGAGTTTATAATTTGTAGGACTATATTTACATTTCATTTTAAGGTGTAGAATTGGTCATGACCAGACTCCTGATTATAACTCCAACATTCAATAATTTGAAATAAAAATAAAAATACAAGTATACTTTAATCAATTTTTTGTTTATGTGTGTTTTGGTTTTATTTATGTCAAACACAAGGTATACATCTTTAAAGAATAAAATTTCTACACATTTCATCCCCAAACTATAAAAGATTTCAACATAAAAGTTTAAAAAATCCATCTTACAAGGTATCATAAGGAGCTGGCCTTCCTAATAATGACTTTTGTTTGCTAAAAAATTCTGCAAAAACTAAAAATCTCACACAATCAAAGTTAGAATTCTAGCTATGTGTTCAATAAAATTTAATAATATTAGCTAAAATCATATATTTATGTTAAAAATTCATTGAATATTTACGTTTAATATCAATGTGTCTACAGGTTAGTGGCCACTATAATTATTTACGTTTAATATCCTCGATAAACTAATTTTTGTTTGTTACTTAGTTCATGTCTAATTAATTACAATGAATAGTAGATCGATACATAATGTATAGCTACTTTTACTTAAAGATTTATAACTCAAATCCACTACAGCGCAACGAAACCGCCGAACGCCCCGATCAGTTACATGACAAGTGGTCTCAAACTCTTATAGAAGCATAATACTCTTAATAAAAAATCGAGATAAGTGTTGAAATTAAAATACTCCTAAACTTGACGAAAATTTAAGGGTGTATTTCACTCATATTGCAAGATTGGGCTATATGTAACTTGTAAGTTCAGTTAGTCAAGTAAAAATATGTTTTTAAAATTGTCAATAGTTCAAAGATAAAACTAATAATTGACACCAAATTTAGAGGGGTACGTTTTCAATACTTCTCTCAATTATTTACTATTTTCTTTTTGAAATATCACTGTATTCAAATAGTTGATGGAATAAGTCTGAAGTGATCAACTATTTGCTTTATTGTTGGAGTCCACAGTAGGACGCACATGCAGTAGATAAGATGCCAGTAGAATAGTGAAAATAAATTATTCCGTCCGTCCCTTGCAAAACTTTACCCAATTTGGGCTATTATAAGACTCAATTTGTATGTTCCATGAATTTTTAGGTTTTTATGCGATTTGATGCTTTCAAATTTTTTTTGCTACGTACTCATACAATCAAACCTTTATAAAGGAAGTCGTTTGTCCTGAAATGTTTATAGTATAATGTATATATAAAAAAAACCACTTATAATATAACAATAGTTCTTTAAAAAAAAGAAAAAAAATATATTGTTACCGAAAATGATTGTTATAATAAGATGAGAGTATAATGTATTTCTCCTTTTTGATTCGTGTGCAGCTGCCCCACCTTTACTTGACATTATTAGGAGACTTTGCCATGGACTCCAGCTATCACTAAAAAGCAAAAGCAAATATATAGTATAAGCTGATCTTCTTTTTCTTACTTTTCCTAATTAATCATTCTGATCAGTTTTTTGTAGCTACTGAAAAAGAAATGGCTGAAATTCTTCTTACAGCAGTCATCAATAAATCTGTAGAAATAGCTGGAAATCTACTCTTTCAACAAGGAACGCGTTTATATTGGTTGAAAGAAGACATCGATTGGCTCCAGAGAGAAATGAGACACATTCGATCATATGTAGACGATGCAAAGGCCAAGGAAGTTGGAGGCGATTCAAGGGTCAAAAACTTATTAAAAGATATTCAACAACTGGCAGGTGATGTGGAGGATCTATTAGATGAGTTTCTTCCAAAAATTCAACAATCCAATAAGTTCATTTGTTGCCTTAAGACGGTTTCTTTTGCCGATGAGTTTGCTATGGAGATTGAGAAGATAAAAAGAGAGTTGCTGATATTGACCGTGTAAGGACAACTTACAACATCATGGATACAAGTAACAACAATAATGATGATTGCATTCCATTGGACCAAGAGAAGATTATTCCTTCATGCTGATGAACAGAGGTCATCGGTTTGGATGATGACTTCAAAATGCTACAAGCCAAATTACTTGATCAAGATTTGCCTTATGGAGTTGTTTCAATAGTTGGCATGCCCGGATTGGGAAAAACAACTCTTGCCAAGAAACTTTATAGGCATGTCCGTCATCAATTTGAGTGTTCGGGGACTGGTCTACGTTTCACAACAGCCAAGGGCGGGAGAAATCTTACAGGACATAGCCAAACAAGTTGGACTGACGGAAGATGAAAGGAAAGAAAACTTGGAGAACAACCTACGGTCACTCTTGAAAATAAAAAGGTATGTTATCCTCTTAGATGACATTTGGGATGTTGAAATTTGGGATGATCTAAAACTTGTCTTTCCTGAATGTGATTCAAAAATTGGCAGTAGGATAATTATAACCTCTCGAAATAGTAATGTAGTCAGATATATAGGAGGGGATTTCTCAATTCACGTGTTGCAACCTCTAAATTCGGAGAACAGTTTTGAACTCTTTACCAAGAAAATCTTTATTTTTGATAACAATAATAATTGGGCCAATGCTTCACCAGAGTTGGTAGATATTGGTAGAAATATAGTTGGGAGATGTGGAGGTATACCTCTAGCCATTGAGGTGACCGCAGGCATGTTAAGGGCAAGAGAAAGAACAGAACGTGCATGGAACAGAGTACTTGAGAGTATGAGCCATAAAGTTCAAGATGGATGTGCTAAGGTATTGGCTCTGAGTTACAATGATTTGCCAATTGCATTAAGGCCATGTTTCTTGTATTTTGGCCTTTACCCCGAGGATCATGAAATTCGTGCTTTTGATTTGACAAATATGTGGATTGCTGAGAAGTTGATAGTTGTAAATAGTGGCAATGGGCGAGAGGCTGAAAGTGTGGCGGATGATGTCCTAAATGATTTGGTTTCAAGAAACATGATTCAAGTTGCCAAAAGGACATATGATGGAAGAATTTCAAGTTGTCGCATACATGACTTGTTACATAGTTTATGTGTTGACTTGGCTAAGGAAAGCAACTTCTTTCACACCGAGCACAATGCATTTGGTGATCCCGGCAATGTTGCTAGGGTGCGAAGGATTACATTCTACTCTGATAATAATGTCATGAATGAGTTCTTCCGTTCAAATACTAAGCTTGAGAAGCTTCGTGCACTTTTCTGTTTTACAGAAGACCCTTGCATATTTTCTCAACTGGCTCATCTTGATTTCAAATTATTGCAAGTGTTGGTTGTAGTCATCTTTGTTGATGATATTTGTGATGTCAGTATCCCAAACACATTTGGGAACATGAGTTGCTTACGTTATCTGCGATTCCAGGGGCATATTTATGGGAAACTGCCAAATTGTATGCTGAAGCTCAAACGTCTAGAGACCCTCGATATTGGTTATAGCTTAATTAAATTTCCTGCTGGTGTTTGGAAGTCTACACAATTGAAACATCTTTGTTATGGAGGTTCTAATCAAGCATCTAACAGTTGCTTTTCTATAAGCCCAATTTTTCCAAACTTGTACTCATTGGCTCATAATAATGTACAAACTTTGATGTGGCTGGATGATAAATTTTTTGAGGCGACATTGTTGCACCGATTGATGAATTTAAGAAAACTGGGTATAATAGGAGTATCTGATTCTACAGTTAAGATATTATCAGCATTGAGCCCTGTGCCAACGGCGCTGGAAGTTCTGAAGCTCAGTGTTTCCAGGCACATGAGTGAGCAAATAAACTTGTCGTCCTATCCAAATATTGTTAAGTTGTGTTTGATCAATGTTTGCGGAACAATGCGCTTGAACTCTGAAGCATTCCCTCCAAATCTTGTCAAGCTTACTCTTGTCCGCTATAAGGTAGACGGTCATGTAGTGGCAGTGCTTAAGAAATTACCCAAATTAAGGATACTTAAAATGGATTGGTGCAGTCATATGGAAGAAAAAATGGATCTCTCTGGTGGTGATAGCTTTCCGCAACTTGAATTTCTGCATATTAATGAACCAGATGGGTTGTCTGAAGTAATGTGTAGGGATGATGTCAGTATGCCTAAATTGAAAAAGTTGTTACTTGTACAAGGCAGCGGTTCTCCAATTAGTCTCTCTGAACGTCTTGCAAAGCTGAGAATATGAAATTCACAATGCGTCAATAGGTTAGTTTGCTACGTTAATTACAATTTTATTTAATGAATCAACTAAATATTTTATGTCTAATGAATTGCAGATGCATTTCAGAATGATTGATTGTAAATTGTAATTGTAATAAATAAATAAATAAATGTTTGATTGCTTGATGTATTTGTGGCTTGTGATTTGTAAAACATATTTATTTATTGTCTTATCACTTATGTATATTTACCTTTGGAATTAGCAGTAGCTTTCGTTTCTTCTCTTCTTCAATAATCAATACTCGCAAATATAAATTAGGGTCGTATTTTATTGGTTTGATTTATCGGTTTATAAATTCGTTTAATCAATAACCAAATCAATTAAATATTTTTTTATTGGTTTTGGGTCCTTAGCGGTTCGATATTTGATTTAACCAATAAGAAAATACTTATAAAACAAATATATGACTTCTCAAACAATTTAACGCGGCAAGATAATACCGTAACTTTACAAATACTCATAAAATAGAAACAATAATAACTAACATGAAAAGAATTATACAAGTGTAACACAAAAAAAAACTAAGAGGAATATGCTTCTTACTTTATATTTTGACGTTTTGTATAATGTGAATTTTTGAACTTAAAGTGATCACTGTGAAGTGTGATGTGAAGGTGAAAGGACAAATGCACTAACTAGTAAGGTATTGCGATTAATATTTAATGTTTATGTATGAGTAAAATAGTAAATTATTATAGTCTTATTGGGTTATCGTTATACCCAATAACCCAATATTAAAAATTAAAATCGAACCGGTAACCCAATATTTTTTTTCTTTCTATAAAACCATTAAAACCTCGTTGACCCAATAACCCAATAACAATAAATCAATAGCACTTTTTTCATTTTAGTTTATCGATCGATTAGATTTTTTCACCCCTCTAATATAAATTACTACCTGTTATAGCAAGTGCAAGTAGGGAATTGATATATAGCTCACATTTTACAAATTCTTTCTAGTGTTAATCGTCAAAAACATTAACTTCTCAATAATATATGGCTGATAATTATTTTAAGTAATCATATTTGTGAAAATTAATAGGTTTAAGATGAGAAATAAATCAAAGTATTTTATTTAATAAAGGGAATGTATATAATTTTCTTCACTATCACCCGAAGTGCAAGTTGTTTTATTACGTACTCTCCAGAGGCGTATCCAGGATCTCAAGAACATGGGGGCACCATTATCTTCAAAATAGACAATTAATTCAATTATATAAATTTTACGGTGAGAACAAGTTGACGAGCAAGTAGGTAGTAGCAATCTTTATATAGTAATATATTAGCAAAAAACATCATTCACTTACAATTGTCCTCGACGAGTTTTCATATTTTGAAAACGGTCAATAATGGCATAATTACTTACATTTTTAAATATACTACGCTCTATATAGCAAACTAAACAACCATTCAAAAGATCTTCATCCATCCTATTACGCAAATCATTCTTTATGTACTTCATTGATGAGAATGCTCTTTCCACGCTTGCGGTAGCAACAGGAATAATCAAAGTTAGCTTCACAAGTAGATACACAAGTGACCAAGTTTGATCTAGTTTTGTCTCTATCATCACTTTTGCAAGATCCTTGATTCCCTTCAAGTTGAGAAACTTGCTATCACACTTTTGAGCATAGACAATAAAATCATCAAGTTGAAAATTGAGTTCCCGAAGCTCTTTATCACCAAACTCACTTGGGTAGTACTCGGCTAGTTTCATTATCCTATCCTTGTGAAAATTAGCAAATGAATCAACCGGACTCAAACTAGCCATACCGAGGAGCAAGTCACTAGTCACCACATCAAAACGATTATTGAGTTCTTGAAGTGCCAAATCAATGACGGCATAAAATACTTCCACACGAAAGTGATGCAAATATGAAATATTGGACCTCTTACGCTTCGACTTCCCATTAGAGTAGTCTTCATTCATTTTGGGAATTGAAATTCCATGTTTACCACAAAATAAGCTAACCTCATCCATCATAGAGTCCCATTCATCCTCTCTCATCATTTGCAATCGTTTCTTTGAAAGGCCAAGCAATCCCACAGCATTACGATATTTGATCTTTCTTTTGTAAAACTTTATTCAACTCATTCGTCAATAGCAACACCTTAAACATCAAGTGCAACATAAAGACAAATTCAAATTCATGAATCTTGCTCAAAAGATTTTCCGCCGCAAATCTATCAAGATGATATGGACAATCACGTTTCATATTCTTAAGCACATTAACAATTGAAGAAAAAAAAATTAGGAAATTGTCCAAGGTTTTAAAATGAGACCCCCAACGAGTATCACCCGGTCGTTGGAGGCCACGTTCTTGATTCAAACCTTACCCTGTATGAACTTCTCCAAATTTAAGCAACTTTTCCAACTTATCTTCTTGATGTTGTCGAAGTGAATCTCTGCGTTTAAATGAAGCTTCAATAGTATTCAAAATATTAGTGAGAACATAAAAAAAATTATCCACATCCTAATTCTTTTTGGAAAGACCTAGAAGTGCCAATTGCAATTGGTGAGCAAAACAGTGAATAGAATATGCAGATGATGTATCTTGTAAAATTAAAGACTTGAGACCATTTATTTTGTCACGACCCGAGCCTACACCCTGGACGTGGCCGGCACTCGAAGACCATTGCTGGTCCCCAAGCGAACCCTCCATCCTCGGCTGACTACAAGCGGAAAACTAGATTCAAGCATACAAAGCTTAAAACTAGAAACAAAAGTTACATAAAACTTAAATTACAACTTTAACTCAAATGAAAACTCTGAATAATAAAATAAATTATTCAACTCGCCATAAAATAGGCAACTTAAGTCTTTAAAACATTTAATAAAATAAATGATACAGACTTCTCAACTATACTGACTATCTATGAAAACCTCTAATTGATAAAGATGGAAGTCGGGACAAGACCCACGACATCCTGACTAAACTTAAAAGTAAATGAAATCCTTCGGAAACTAGGAGGCTCACCATAGCTACCTCGAACTCTCGGATGTATCAACGAAGCTCCTGTTGATGATCCTGAATACTTGTGTCTGCATCATGAGAAAGTGCAGGTCAAATGACTCAGTACGTGGAATGTACGAGCATGTAAGGGGAATTCTAAAGCATAACATAAGCTTGAAACTTGATAAAAAGGAAGCATACTTATCTCTTCTGAAACTTACTCAAATCAAGGAATACTCAAGGATACTCAAAACTACTCAAATTACTCAACTCAGAAGTACCCAAGGATAAGATACTCAACTCAGAGATTAGATACTCAACTCAAAGATATGATATTCGACTCTGGGTACTCAACTCAATATGGCTGAACTCATTTGAATATAAAGCAATTTAAAACAAGTGCAATATAAAGAAACAAACTATTTAAAAACATGCTGTCAACTCTGTGTGTATGCAAGGATACAACATAACTCTGAAATGTATGTAAAAATACAATCAACCGTGCATATAAAAATACAATAACTTTTGTGGGAGTTTCTCTAACCGACAACCATCACTTAAGAGCTATAGTGATGATACAACGATCTACCTCACGCTGCCAGCGCATGTTATACCCAGCCAAAGGTATAGGACCTGAACTTCCTAATGGATCCA